CTACACGCTTGCGTCAGACGTTATGAAGCCGATATCCATCCATCTTCGAGTAGATATCTATTCGATAACTTATGGAACCAATAAGCTTTAAACAGGCGTTGAGAAACCCAACAGACGTGATTTTGGTAGTTTATAAGACTCATAAGCTTATGTAACCGATATGTTGGAGTTCGGAAACCGGGCATTAGTAAAGTAAAAACACAAAATATTCAGATGGAGACGAAAATTTTAATTCAATATAAAGATGTTGTCAACCTTGCCATTATACGTGAAAAACAATATCATTAAAGTATCCTCCACGGGAACTTCTACAAGCCTCAATCCTTTTGAGGTAATTTTGAATGACTTTTCGGCACATCACCGGTAATATTTGACATATTCAATCCGGTAACATTTAAATTGTTTCACTTGTATATGCTTACAAAAGTACGCCTTTCAAAAATTACAAACGTCAAAACGTGACAATTTCAAAAATGACATTGACATCAAATTTAAAAAATGTAGTTGATGCCTAAAGCTAAAAATCACTAAAATTTTTAGCGTTTCAATAAAATTATAGATAGTTTAGCGGATATAAATATGCCACCTGTCAAAATGGAAGAAAATGTTTTGGATACATTATTCTCACTTTTTGACGTACTATTCGAATCTCCAGTAAAATGTGGTTGAACCATTTGAAATTCTCAAGTTACCCCGTGCTTAGTACAAAGCTTAGTGCTAAATAAACTTCCCTCTTCCAGTTTCCGAAATATTTAAGTGTTTCAAGATTTAAAAAAAACACCTTGTATATAAACGGCTTATTATTTTATTGTTAGTTTATATTTTGTAATTATTTTTCTAGGTATCTGGAGTGCGTCGAATCAATCAATTACGCCGAGAAGAACATGAAGTAATGTCAGATTCTCGGGAGCTTGCTCGTGAAAGAGAAATACACAGCGCAATGCAAATATCCCAGTCTTTGGAAGACCTTTCTATAATGACCGAATCTCCAAGTGATCCGAAGAGTAGCAGGATGGGACCCATTCATGTCAACCTTCCTGCTAACAGCTTTATGTGCAATTCTCCTTCGCCAACTAGGTAATATTTGGATAGCATCAATGCTTCTTAGGTGTGTCTTACCTATGTACTAATCAGATCATTACTAATTTATTAATTTATGTACCTTTAGGGTAGCAACTTTTCTGTGACGATCCTTTCGTTTAATTGTTATCTTAGAACGAACCGTGTGTCCTTTGGAATATATCGGGAATTGGGATAATGGGATTTTCAGGGTCGCTGTTTTCAGATGAAGTAACAGCGACATTGTGCGTTTTTTGCAGTTTGCTCAAACTGACTTATTTTAAAAGGAACACCCTGTATAATGTTTTTTGTACCTATTTTATTTCCAATATCTTTTATTAAGTTTTTCTACCCTATTCTATACGTTTCTGAACAAAAAATAGTTTTTCTCAAAATTTTACGATTAACAGGGTGTCGCTTAAAATTGAATATCTTCTCAAAGATGAAAGAGTGAAACTCAAAGTCTGAGTTGCAAAATTAGAAATTATTATGCCCTATGATGAATTATCAGAAAAAGAAATGTAGGTACAGCACAGTGGAAAATAACAATATTAATTATCTGTCAAAAAAAATTGGAAAAATCTTTATTATTTATATATGATGATACGCTGCTGATTCATTCAATGGATAGGCTAGAACATTTTCTATCGGTGTGCATATGGTGTCCTTAACGTAACTTTAATTTTTATCTTATTTACGGTTTTCCGCAAATTCCTGCACACATCAAACATATTTAATGAGTCAAGAGGGCCATGGATAAGCAAAGTAATACTATGTATCTATGGTGATGTATGTCAGTTGCAATTAATTATTTATGGACGTTTTGTTGCCAAGTTTATTCGGAAGAAGTACTGCAGAAAGATTAAAAATAATATGCGTGCAAATTATGAAAAATCATCTTAATTTTGGGACAATTAATACAAAGAATTATACCCATGCCAATAACATCAAATGAGGATAACATAATCATGTGTGGCTATACAGGGTGATTCAAAATTGGCATCATTCCTTTTAAGGGGTGATGGAGGCTCACATGGGGAGTACGAGAAAAATATTGAAATTTTTTTTTTCGAAAATTTCTAGAAGATATTAACAGTTGAAGATCGAATTTCAACTTTGCTATTAAGCATTATTTCGAATTTGTTCCATGTTTAATTGGTAGCATATTGGAATACTTAAGCATTCAAAAAGAAAAATTACGATCTTTGCTTCAAATTACGGAAATTTTGGATATTGAAAAAGTTCTGTTCTACAATTTTTTGATGAAAAGTCAAAGCGGCAATGATGTTTTTCGGAATTAACAGATAGTTACAGGTGGATAGCCCTTGTCAATAATAACAATAATCTGTCAAACTGTGACTTACTTTGAATTTTCTTTCACGAATTTGCGG